TAAAAATTACCAACTTAACATAAATAAAATTTTTATAGTATTAACCTTGAATCTTCTAGTGTTCTTTTTCTGCTGTCTTGGTTATTTTGATTTATTTCACCACTAATATTTCTATCATTTGCATTCATGATTTGCAATTAAATGAGTACGAAAATGTCAACTAATCGTATAATTAACATTAAAAAAAAGTCTTGCTTGAACTTGCCCGTATATCGGGACAAAAATATCCAGATCAAACAATTGAAATTCAAAGTACCTCAATATCAAAACTTATATGAAATCAGGAAATATCAAGCAAAATTTAAAAAATTTTTGTTCCGTCGTGCATCACTAGGTAAACCAAATTTTTTTTACCATTTTACTCTTCCAAGTGTCCCACTTAAAAAAACATTATACCCGACATGACTTCAAGGTGCTTCACCGTAAAAAACTCGAATACCCTTCCTGGTACATGTTTTAATTGTATATCGAAACTAAAATTTCGGAAATTTTTTTAAAGTATTTACTTAAAAACAAGACAATAAAATGCTTTGTTCTTTAGGATAATTGCTTATTGCTAAGAAATACACCCACTAAAACTTTTTGGGTTAAAATAATAAAAAAAAATTTATGTTGATAAATTAAATATGAGCACTTTTTACGAAAAACTGTTACAGTACTTTCTCAGAAATAACAAACAAGAATGCAATTTTCATTTGGAGAATTAATAAAAACTAAAAAATATACCAGCTATGATTCACCAATCACAAAAATAACAACAAAAACTTTTATTTTTAACATAACATATTGACACTATTTTACTGATTTTGACAGTCATTTGCGAAGTAATACATTTGTTTTTATTAGCAACAGTGCCAATCTCCTCCTGCAAGCAGAATCGCGAAACGTTTACTGACATATTACTTACCAAAACGGCTATGAAAATCAGGAAAATGGTGTCGATATGTTATGTTAAAAATAAAAGATTTTGTCGTTATTTTTGTGATTAAGGTGAATCTTAGCTGGTATATTTTTTAGGTTTTATTAATTCTACAAATTAAAATTTCTTTCTTGTTTCTTATTTCTAAAAAAGTGCTGTTACAGTTTTTCGTAAAAAAGTGCTCATATTTAATTTATCGACATAAAGTTTTTTCATTATTTTAACTTAAAAAAAGTTATAGTTAGTGTATTTCTTAGCAACAATCAATTATCCTAAAGGACAAAGCTTTTTATTGTCTTGTTTTTAAGTAAAGACTGTAAAAAAATTTCCGAAATTTTCGTTTCGATATAGATGGTATATTGCTTAACATGGGGAAGACAGGCCCATTTACGGAGAGGGCGAATGTTTTTAGCACTTGACGAGCACTGAGATGAACGAAGCCGTAGCCCAAGCGCACCGTCCTTCCCCATGTCATGCAACATATTTTTTATCACGAATGCACGATTTCGACAGTTTTCTGCCCCGTCCAGCGAGTTTAAACTTCAGGTTTTTGAGTCGGTGCCAATGACATCCCGATTAGTATATCTAGCAGACATGCAGGTACTGTCTCACAGAAAACATTGACCTGCGTGCGCCGGTATGGAGCATGCGCACAGCAACAACGAAAGACTGAAAAGTGTGTGTAAATGATTTGTTTCATGTGTGTGACGTCACGTTTTTACTCCCTAGAGTGTAAATTTTTAATTTAAACGCACCCGCGCATGCCGCTCGAAAAGCTGGAGTTTAAGCTCGCTCGGTGGGGCTTAAAACTGACTAAATAAATCGTGCATGTGTGATGAAAAAAATTTTTTACAATTTTTTTTGCTTTAAAAATTAGTTTACTATCTGTAGAATATGATCCTACATTACTAATCTATAATAAGATGTATGAATGTCTATAGTAAACATAAGTTTAGCACTTCAGATGCTACCAAATGCAGTTAACTATGAGCACGAGATCCCTCTATTCTTTCGGTTTCTTGTCAATATAATTTTATTAATTGTCATTAGCAAGCATCATAAGGAAGTGATAGTAAATCTTGGTTTTAGTGCAATAGTTATTTTTGAATACATAACGTCTTCAAGACAATAGTTAGAACACTACTTTTATGTATCGAAAACTTTATACGCGTTTTTTTCGAAACGTGTTTTTTCACGCGCCGTGCAAAATAGCTCAACCAATTTTTAACCGATTTTAATCAAACTTACCACAAATCTTCTTTATCTTATTGGCTATTGCATGACGAGCTCCTTTTAAAAAAAACATTTTTAACAATTGTTTTTGAACATTGTTTATAAAAAAAATAGATTTTTTTTCAAAACAGTCCTACATTTTCAAAAAAAAAATTTTTTTTAGTTTTCTCTTCGTCATGCAAAGCGTATTTAAACGGTAAAAATTTTGATTTTTAATTTTAGTTGAGATTTGTGACCTGTAGGCTGCACAGTGCAAAATCAAAAAAACAACTTCAAACGCTTATAACGCCGCCATTTTGTAATATTTTTAATAAAAAGTTTTTTTATAAAGCTTATATTGTGTACTTTAAGGTATTCTTTTCTATAATTCAATAAACTTTACCAGTTTTTTTTTTAAATTCCTGAAAAAACGTGCATTTACACGAGTTTCCCCCCTTAAACATGTACCAAGCACGGTTTTTTGAGGTTTTCAATGTGACGGACCTTGAAATCATGTCGGACATAATTTTTTTATTAAGTGGGACACTTGGAACAGTAAAATGGGGGACAAAATTTGGTGCATCAATTGAATGGAACCCCAAACAAAATTTTTGAAAATTTCAAAATCCAAAATTTTTTGAGTTTTTTTGAAAAAAATGTTGACAATTTTTTTTTTATAATCGTTTTACTTCTCTCTGTAACATATCCAAAGCTGATTAAAATCCATCCAGTAGTAGTATATAGTAATAGTATATTGTAATAATATGGATAAAATACTAGCTGGGGCAATTTTTCCATACTTACCCGGCTATACCATTTGTGGTAATGGTGGGGGTAATACTAACAAAATGACGACTAAAATTTTTGGGATGATATTCCGACTAATTTACATAAGAAAAATTTAGAGGCTGCATAGAAATCAATTAGTTATGAGAGTGGTACAATAAAATTTTTAGCGTAATTTTTAGTTACCCTATTGAAAAAAAACACGTATAATTATACGTATAATAATACGTATAATTGTACGTATAATTATACGTATAATTGTACGTATAATTATACGTATTATTATACGTATAATTGTACGTATTATTATACGTATAATTATACGTATAATAAGACATACGAATTTGAAACAAGAATTATACGTATAATTATACGTATAATTATACGTATAATTATACGTATAATAATACGTATAATTAATTATACGTATAATAATACGTATAATTATACGTATTATTATACGTATAATTATAATTCTATTAAAAATAGAATAATAGAATAGAATAGATTAATTAGTAGCAAAATTGCGCTGAAAATTATTAGAATTTTTAAAATGCAAATTAAATTTCACGAAAAAAAATATCGTCGAATGTCAATTCAAGCAGTCACCCATCCAAGTACTAACCGCGTCCAACGTTGCTTAACTTCCGTGATCTGATGAGAACTTGTTCCTTCGCCTTGGTGTTTCCGCTGTCTTGTCTTGATTAATAACTTTGTCGTATAAGTATCACTAAAAGTGAGGTGCGATACAATACTTATACGACAAAGTTATTAATCAAGACAAGACAGCGGAAACACCAAGGCGAAAGAACAAGTTCTCATCAGATCACGGAAGTTAAGCAACGTTGGACGCGGTTAGTACTTGGATGGGTGACTGCTTGAATTGACATTCGACGATATTTTTTTTCGTGAAATTTAATTTGCATTTTAAAATTTCTAAAAATTTTCAGCGCAATTTTGCTACTAATTAATCTATTCTATTCTATTATTCTATTTTTAATAGAATTATAATTATATGTATAATAATACGTATAATTATACGTATAATAATACGTATAATAATACGTACAATTATACGTATAATTATACGTATTATTATACGTATTATTATACGTGTCTATATTTTATAATATTTAGGTATATATTAATAAACAAAAATATATCCCTATTGAAAAAAAACACGTACAATTATACGTATAATTATACGTATTATTATACGTATTATTATACGTATAATTAATTATACGTATTATTATACGTATAATTATACGTATAATTCTTGTTTCAAATTCGTATGTCTTATTATACGTATAATTATACGTATAATAATACGTATAATAATACGTATAATTATACGTATAATAATACGTGCAATTATACGTATAATTATACGTACAATTATACGTATAATTATACGTATTATTATACGTATAATTATACGTGTTTTTTTTCAATAGGGTACACTTAACTGTATATGCTGGACACTGCAATATTCTGTTGAGTTAATGTGCCTTCTTTCTTGCATAACAGATTTCTTCCGTTTGAGGTACTTTTCACAAAATATAAAAAAAATCTATTAACTTTACTAATGCGTCTTTGAGGGCAGCGTTTAAACTCTTCCCTACGTCATAGAAACGTTTCAAATATGGGGAAATTAAGACACATACGCGTCTTATTTTAAGACACTTAAATATTTAAATGTCTCAAAATGAAATGCGTACGTGTCTTAAGTTCCCATATTTAAGACGTTTCTTTTTGCAGTGATGTGAATACTGCTGCAAGGTTAGATGCTGTGTGGGACAATAATAGAGAGCTATGTGCGATTGACGTTAGCAAATAACATTTCCTCTAAATTAAAGCTGAAAATAGTTCTTCTAGCGAGTGAATCATTTTGTTATAAAAATAAATATCATTACAATGCAATAGGGGAAAATGTCCTGAAAATTTTTAGTAAAATACAATCTTTAAAAAAGTAGAATGATTGAGTATCATTGTTTTTGAGAAATACAAGTTTTAAAAAAGGTTTCAATGTCTTAGACATTGAAATACTTCAATAAGACCTTTCATTTTTTAGATAATCGAATCCAATTGTTAAAAGCACTTTATTCTATAACAATTAATCATTTTACAATAATTGGATTTTTAATTGTAATAAAAAAATTGTGTGTTAAAACTGTTCTCAGTAAAATTTCCATCTAATTTAATTAATAATTATTTATTCTCCGGATATCGAAGGCAGCTCCATGCTGAATTTACATTTGTGAATAAGATTTTTTACTTCGTACAAAACCTGAAAAAAGTTAAAATTATTATAAGAAAATTAATTTTATCAAATTTTTTAAATAGATAGTATAATAGAATAAGAAAACTATTTTATATGTAAAGAAATGAAGTGGTTTTGTTAAATTTATTAAAGAATTTGATAACATTGTTGCCCTTTTTATAAAATAACAGATAGTCTATATGAAGTTACATTAAAGATCTTTTTAAAAGTCTTGAGTAACAGCAAATATTTATGTCTAAATTTCAAAATTCTTAAATTTATTCAAATTTTAGGTGTCAGAAATTTTGGTTATTATTTCTCTTTCTATCGTGTCAATTAAAGAAAGACGAAAAAGGAAAATGAATAATGAATAGAAGTGAATTAATGTTAATACCCATTGATTATTCAAAAATTTTAAAAAATTTAGAACCTGAAAAATCAGTTTGTGGGAAATCACCCATATAGTGCCATCAAAAAATAAGACGACCAAACAAACAATAAGCTATTGTAATAAATTTTACGTTTCCATTTCATCACCGCCTTATAAACTTAACACAACCAATTAAACTTGAGACTTACCGAACTATCAATGTATGCTTCGCATAAATAGCACCAAACAGACAAATCACTAAAACTTAATGCAATAGGATGATGAGTTTCTTGTGCATGTATTAAGGCATGTTTGTTAATATTCCGTGCACAATGAATTGAATAGCATTTTAAACAAATCCAATTTTCAGAAAGACTGCTACATTCTCCACAAGGTTTATAGATATCAATATCTTCTTCTGACACTTTACTTATTGCGCTTAAATGAGTACAATCTGTTTTTGGTATGATTGCAAACATGTCACCATCCATAAGATTCTGCAATTAAAATAGCATATTTATCTACTTTGCCCCACAGATATATTTTGTCAATTAAAACTTTTCTAAACATCAAATATATTAATTGTAGCAAGTTGAATCACAGGATCAAGTGCATATTTATACGCTATAATCAAATTTTAACCTTCAAATTTTTTATACTTATTTCTGGGATGAAGTGTTACTTTTGACTTATGTATATAAATATGTACATAAAAGCATATATACATATATACACGGAAAGAAAAGGTATCGTTGTCCCAACCATAAAAATATTGTTGGTCATAATATTGCTAAGGCATCCATACATATAGCTGAAGCAGCTTTCAGTATGGATACATTGACAAAAAAGAATGGTTGTGGCAACCATATAATATTTGTACCTATGATATGGATATATCAACCATAGCTTTAGTTGAGGTAACAATATTGGTTTGGATTTTAACAATTTGGTTATCCTATCCATTTTTGAATTGCTAAGGCCCCTATAGACGTCTGCGCACCTTGTCTGCGCGGTGATGCAATATATTACGTCTATATTACTCGCATTAATTCCAAGCGTCGCGAAACGTGTATATGTCCGCAGTCCTAAACATTTTCTATAATCATTTAAGAATTATATTGTTCCCGGTTAATGTGTTTTTTAAGTTAAAAAATGGAAGCTGAGTGCATTGATTTCCTTAAAAAAATAGGCTTCGAAGAATATATTCCGCAGTTTCTTCAATGTTTGCGACACTTAGGCACGCACTATAATTATAATACTATAATAAAAGGTGCGATACGATTGTTTATTTTGTTAACGAATTTGTATTTGGCGATTATTTCAAAAAAATAAATACGTTTTTATGGGACTCAATGTTTTAAATTAATCAAAAATAACCTTATTGATAACACAGCCCCACAAAAAAAAAAAAGTGTCGTGCGCGGCAGACCAGACTAGTCATTTCCCATGTATTTTGACGCGCTGAACACGAATCCGAAGTCCGTTTTGCTCCATCACGTCAGGATTTTTTTCTAACCTCCAAAAACCTGTCGGATTTTGAGAGGTAGGCTATTTTTTAAAAAAATTGATGGATTTACTTCAAAATTGGTATCTAGGGGTTTTTTGGGTCGCTGATGACGAATTTGAAGTTAGATTTTCAAAATTCAAAATGGCGGCTCCAATATGGCGGACGAATTTTGTAAAAAGTGATGGATTTACTTCAAACTTGGTATCTAGGGGTTTTTTGGGTCGCTGATTACGAATCTAAAGTTAGATTTTCAAAATTTAAAATGGCGGCTCCAATATGGCGGACGATATCGACCCTTCAAAGGTGATAATTCCGCCCTTACACACGAAACTAGGAGCAATTAAACAGTTTGTCAAAGCCTTAGATAAAAAAGGAAACTGTTTCAAATACCTGGAACAAAAGTTTCCAGAAATCTCTGATGCGAAACTAAAAGAAGGGGTTTTCGACGGACCACGTATTCGCAAATTGTTAAAAGATGAGCAATTTATCACCAAGATGAATAAAAAGGAGAAAGCCGCATAACTTAGTTTTAAAGCAGTTGTCGAAAATTTTCTGGGTAATCACAAGAGTGAAAATTGGGAGCAAATAGTTAGTGATATGATTAAAAACTTTGGTAAGTTAGGATGCTTAATGAGCATAAAGTTGCATTACTTAGACTCGCATCGGGATTAATTCCCTGAAAATTTGGGAGATTACAGTGAAGAACAAGTACCTGGAGGCACCAATTTAAAAAGAAAACCATTACACAAATCCTTTGAGGACAAAAGAGTGCGCTACCATAAAAAGACGTGAATACCTTACTTATGTATATAAGAATTTTCATTTCTAGTTTTGAAAATCTAACTTCAGATTCGTAATCAGCGACCCAAAAAACCCCTAGGTACCAAGTTTGAAGTAAATCCATCAACTTTTACAAAATTCGTCCGCCATATTGGAGCCGCCATTTTGAATTTTGAAAATCTAACTTCAAATTCGTCATCAGCGACCCAAAAAACCCCTAGATACCAATTTTGAAGTAAATCCATCAATTTTTTAAAAAAATAGCCTACCTCTCAAAATCCGACAGGTTTTTGGAGGTTAGAAAAAAATCCTGACGTGATGGAGCAAAACGGACTTCGGATTCGTGTTCAGCGCGTCAAAATACATGGGAAATGACTAGTCTGGTCTGCCGCGCACGACACTTTTTTTTTTTGTGGGGCTGTGTAATATTAAACAAATAAAATAAACATAAATTGTAACCATATAAAATGGTTGCTTCAACAATATTAATATGGTACACTAAATAATGGTCGAAGCATCAATTAAAAATGGTTGTCACATCCATATTAGCATTTTTATGTTTTCCAAATATATGGTTCCCACAGCCATATATTCTAGTTGTGCTAACAATTTAAAGGTAGCTATTTAATATGGCTGTAGCAACCGGAGGTATGGTTGGGACGTATTTTTAAATATAATATGATTGAGACAACCAAAGGTATGGCTGTGGCAACCATTGATTTTTTTCCGTGTATAATATATCCCGACGCATAACCGTGTAGAACATTCCTGTGAAGGAACACACATAGGATCCTATTTCGAGTTCCTTGGCAAGTTCCCTCGTATGTTCATATGAGGTTTACCACACAGGATCCTTTTGTAAAGGATCCTGTAAGGAACTTGTGTGTGAACTATTGTGGTTTCCCACATGTTGAAAATAATTACAAAAAAGGGGATCTCACGATTTTCCCTGTGTAACATGTTCTTTTATAAACAACTTTTAATGTAAGATCTTACATAGGATCCGAGAGATGATCTTGCGTGTGTTTCTTCACGGTATCCTTTTTACGAAAAGTTGTATAAAAGTGTTCCTCCACAGTACCCTTAAAGTGTTCCTAGATAGGTTCCTGAATGGTAACCTTAATAAGATTATTTACAAATTTGTACGTACCTTTTTGTTGATATATAATGAGTGTACCGACGTGGTATCCTTTGAAGTTTCTTTTATTAGTTCGTACCTACAGTACTCTTTATTAATGTTTTACTATGTGGTATCCTTTGAAGTTTCTTTCATAAGTTCGTACGTACCTTGCTCTTGGTAAGTAACATGTGTTCCTTCGTAGAAACTTTCAAAGTTTCCTGAACGAGTTCGTTCCTACATCGTTACTAGTATATATTTCTACGTGTGATCCTTAGTATGTTGACACTATTGAAAATTCCTATAAAGTTTCCCACATGTGATACTTTAAAACGAATCTAATAGGATATAGTTTTTTATATAGTTTCCTACGTAGGATCCTACAAAGTATGTCACAAACAATAAAAATTTTAAAAAATTTTCATTATTTTTTTTTATTTATGTAATTGTTGCCTTGCCTGTTTTTTGACTTCTAGTATTCTAGAGAAATATTTGAAAATAGGGTCAACATACTAAGGATCACACGTAGGAATATATACTAGTAACGATGTAGGAACGAACTCGTTAAGGAAACTTTAAAAGTTTCTACGTAGGAACACATGTTACTTATCAATAGCAAGGTACGTACGAACTTGTGAAAGAAACTTCAAAGGATATCATGTAGGAACACACACTACTTACTAAGAGCAAGGTACGTACGAACTTGTGAAAGAAACTTCAAAGGATACCACGTAGGTACACTCATTATATAGCAACAAAAAGGTACGTACAAATTTGTAAATAATCTTATTAAGGTTACCATTCAGGAACCTATCTAGGAACACTTTAAGGGTACTGTGGACGAACACTTTTATACAACTTTTCGTAAAAAGGATACCGTGAAGAAACACACGCAAGATCATCTCTCGGATCCTATGTAGGATCTTACATTAAAAGTTGTTTATAAAAGAACATGTTACACAGGAAAAATCGTGAGATCCCCTGTTGTAATTATTTTCAACATGTGGCAAACCACAATAGTTCACACACAAGTTCCTTACAGGATCCTTTACAAAAGGATCCTGTGTGGTAAACCTCATATGAACATACGAGGGAACTTGCCAAGGAACTCGAAATAGGATCCTATGTGTGTTCCTTCACAGGAATGTTCAACAGGGAAGGGGGTATTTTTTTGAAAAAGGATATGTTTTCGTAAATTCTCTTTTTCTCAAAACGTTTTTTGACATCCGAAAAAAACTATTTGGTTTTATTTCATTTGGGACGATCTCACAATTTATTATTTTAATTATTTATTAAATTTCTTTTATTAAACAATATTTTGTAATGATCTGAGTAAAGTAAAAGTATTCTACTTCGAAACGATTGATGACGTATATTTCTCAGAACCGAAATAAGCCAAGGCTAAAAATAAGAAAATAAATATAAATACGTATAACAATGTATATCCTTGGTGTAAGAGTTAATAAATGCTTCAATCTTTTTTCTAACTTAAAATATCCTGCTTCAAAGTTGGAATGAATTTTTCACGAGACAAACTTCAACGTGCTGACAATTTTTGGTGGTAGTGTAGTTAAGTTATGTAAGCGCACTGAAAATATAAGAGCTTCTTGCAATTAAAAAAAACTTTAATTAGTCTATAAAAATGCCCCGCGATAAAGGAAGATGGAGAACAGAATACAATTTAATAATTGTAATATTTTCTATTGCAGCCGTTATTCGAATGTTTGCCCAAAAATAGAAGACTTACCTCAGAACAAAAAGAACACAGGAAAAAAAGTCTTACTCCGAGCATAGTCTAATTTTTAATTTTGATTAGAAAGTAGTTGATAACTAATATCAATCACAAATAATGGTTTAAAAATAAGCCATTAAGGTCTTAATGAAAAATGAGATATTAATGTGACAAATATTTAGTTCTATTTGATTCAAAACAAGCCTTTATGGTCTTGGACTCAATACAAAATTTTATTCGCTAGAAATGAGACGTTAAAAGTCTTCAATCAAGCCCATGAGGTCTAGATACTAGTGAGTTGTAACTAGACGTACTACGAAAGTGCCCGAGACCCGAGTGTAAAGTGTCATGGACGCCTTTC